TTTTTTAAGTATCTAGAGTTTTACTTGTACTTGCTGTACTTGTACTCGTCCAATGACTGATGTCTTGCGACACAATCAATACATAAAAACACACAATAAGTAACCGATGCTCATATCAGACTTTTTGCGTTACAATCGAAACACATCTATCAATGCACATATATACAGACAACGGATCAAAATTAGAAACAACAGTCTCTTTTGTTGTCTATGCAACTAAATGAATCGAAAATATTGAAAGACAAACTGTCGAAAGAATCAATACAATAAGGATTATCTTCACTACTATAAATACTCTTGAACATTTTCTTCTGATAGAATAAATTGCGTTGACTAAACTGACACAGGTAACTTTCATCAGTCAAGTAGATAATATCGAAAGCGGTAAATTTCAGTTGAAAGTTAGTTTATTAATTAAAAAAATTTTGTATTTTCTCCAGTTTATGATTTTTCAATTCATTTAACATATTTTTTATACTGTCTTTGAATTCTCTGATCGATTTCGAGTCTAAATAATGTTCCATTTGTTCCAATAACATTTTTTGTTCATCGATATTAGCAATTTGAATGTGCATCACTTCGTTGCGTACACTTGATAAATGGACAAGTTTATCCAGATCAATTGAACAAAGTGATTGCAACTCGCGTCGTTTTGCCATAATCTTTGGTGATGGTGGACGACAAGCTAAATTAAGATTTAGACTTAGTCAGATTGTGAGATAAAGAGAATAAACAATTTACCTGATTCTAATGAATTAGGTGAAGTTTGTTTAACAACATTAACAATTTCTGACCATCGAATCTTTGGATAATGACGTCGAATTATTGGTAAAACAATATGATAACGATACAAAAATGAGACTTTAAATGCATGTAGTATAGCATCCCGTTCATGTTGACGTTCTTGTAAACCTTGTACAGCTGAACGAAGATCAGTTACTTGACCGGACAACTCCGTAATTGTTTTTTCAGCTGAACGAAGATCAATAGCTTGACTAGACAATTGGCTGGACAATTCCGTAATTTTTTTTTCATTATTTATTGCCAATTGTTCAATATTGTACAATACATTGAATAATTTTTCTTGAATATTTTTCGGTGCTGTTGACTCGATCAAAAGACGAAGTTCATCGAATAATGAAGCTAATGGCATTGGTTTTGTCATGCCACAATGAGTAGAAGAATCAATAATGGTACATACAGTTTCTTCAAATTTCTTTAATGAATCTGTTTTCACGATATGTTCTTCTTCAAGAGATTTATCAAATTCATTTCGAAACCATGTTGACGTGAGAATTCGATTAAAAGATGATGGAGTGGATAATGAACCAGTATGATTGACGATACTGTAATTGATGATATGATGATGATTCATTAACCCTATAACAAGAACAAAATGATTGGGATTGAGGCGATGAAAAAACGTACTTTTCAAAAAACCGAACATTTTCTGTTGTTGATCTGGAATTTGAATTTCGTGTAATACATTTTTCGATTTAGCTTTAGCGTGTTCAATCTCGCTCTACTCGACTGAATTGAATAAGAAGATCGTATTAGGCCTTGTCTCCACTAGAAAATTTAATACCGAATTAAGAAACTTGATTTGTGGAAAATATAATTCGCATTTAATGCACCAATCAAAGTCTCATTAGGTTCATGTGCTCCAATTGAATTAATGAAAGCGACATTTCGTTCTAGATTCTGATTGATGCATTAACTTTCTAAGTGTAGATACGCATCATTTTAACACGAAGTTAATACTGTATTATTTTTCTAGTGGAGACAAGGCCTTACGATGATTGAAGAGGAAAATGGGTATTTATTTGATTCTTTGCTCATCCAATCAATAGAAACTGACTCATCTGAAGAGGACGCTACGTGTCGACTAAAACGCCATAAGGTATGTTTGTTTGAACAATACTTTCGAGAAATTATTCAAACGA